TATACTTATACAACTCTATAAATGATTTACAGTCGACAAAAGATGTTTTACAAAGTTTATGCATAAAGCCTTTATTTTTAATCTCTACCTAACAAAGTTGCATGTCGTTGCATGAGAGAAAATGGCTAGCTATATAGCTCCAAAAATGTTAGTCACACCTAAGGAGGATTATACTAAAAAGAACTTCAGCATAGAAAAAAAACTACAGTTTTTGTTCCATTCAATATCATTTTGGGTTATATAATACCAAGTGATTACAACTCTGATTCTCTGAAACCTGTTCTATATGACATGGAGTAGCATTTCACACTTCGTAGTCAGTATTGACAGAGAGAACCAGATTTATCATTGTTTCCTTTCGAAGGAAAACGCGTATTTGTTACACTTTTTCATTGGGTTTTTATGTGAATAGAAAAATTAGAATATTAAATTAGTAATCCTCAATAATTGTCGATTATATAAAATAAACAAGACGGCGATAGAAGAATAAAGTAAGTCAAACTGAATTGTCCTGAACTCTGGATATGTCTTCAATAATCCAAATCAAGTATGCTAATTGCTATGAACAATCAAACGTTTTACAATCATTAAACAAAGATCCTTTAGATCTGTGGGGATGGCTAATATACGCTTTTCCTTTCCCAAAATTATATTTAGTATATTTCCTCTTGATCTCGGCCTAAAGGGATATTCTTTCTAAAAAAAAACAGTTTTGTTATACATATATATATACAGAAGATAATGCATTGAAAATCACTTATAAAAAAGGCTAAACAGAATTTTGCTCCTTTTGTAGAATATCCTCCAAAATAATGATGTTACCTGTTTATCAAAAAGAAAAATCATGTTACCTAAACCATCACTGCTCATCTTTTCTCTAAAGTAATTAATTCTCTTCCAGTTCTCGTTGGATAATGTTCTTGCAATATCACCTTTGATTTTTAAATCTGCCAAAAAAACGGTTGCTTACAATTTTATGTAATAACTGCACCCATAGATGGAGAGCGTGGCAACACTCACATGACAAATGAAACTTAAGTATTTGTTTTAAATTAATTCGAAAAGCCTAGAGAACAGAATTGGTAGTGGCGACGACATGGTGAAAATTGTTTGCATTGTATACAATTTTTCTGCTTAGTCATTGCCAAACAAATCGAAGAAGTAGATATAAAGAAAAAACAATCATGGTCAATGATGTCAAAGAATGAGATACAATTTTCAAAATAGTGATTTTAAAATAACACTAGGTTTTTCTATTCAACTGACAGTTTGTAGTTATGTTTAATTTGTATTCTCAACCTTACATTCATATTTTTTATTAAAAAAAAAACAAATGCAAGAGTCAGGAGTACTATGAATGATTAATACAAAGGATTTCAAATTTCACCAAAAGAAATACAAAGGATTACAAGAAAATTACAAGATGTTGAGATTGTGTTATGGTTTTCTTGGCCAATTCATCAGCTTTGAAAATATATATTTTTTCAGCTTTGAAGATATTCCTTCAATTGATCTGTTAAAAAGGGTAAAATTCTCGTTCTTACTAGTTTTGACTAAATCTTGGGTGGATAACGAAAACAGTTGTTATTCTGTATTTGTTTGGATATTTTTTTGTGTTCAACTGATCAAATATCTACTTTGAATCTATCACGAGAAGTTGTAGTTTAATTTCGAGAAACGCTTAACACCAAATAATAATGCATGAGCTTCAGCTGATGTGGTTGTTGCTAAAAGACTACAATTCTATTTTGACTTACATACAGGATCCCGAATAAATCTATTTGGTGGTCTTTGGCATTCAACCAAAAAGCATCAAGAAAATAAACATTTTGTGATATTCCAGTTTTGAGTTGGTTGAGTTTATTGACAAAAGAAAAAGCTTCTGCAAAAAGAATTTTCTCAGTCTGGAAGAACTTATAATCAAACAAAAAAAGTTTACTAACTTGATTCCCAGTAGATTTTTCTATTTGCTTCCCGGTTTCAAAATGTAAACAAACTCCAGTTGAAACTTGAGAAAGATATTTGCTAGCATATAATTACCCAAATGAATAGTTTAAACAGTCGTCAAAAAGTAAAAGTTTTCACAAATTCCTTTCTCTGTATAAGTTTGAGTATTCGTAAGACTGATGTTACACTTGTACACAAACAATTGTTCAGTCAAATTTATGTTCATTGCCGAAATAATCTGCACACGTCATATCAATATTGATCAATCGATTTTTTAGCATTCATGTATCATAAATTTCAATTGCCGAAAATGGTAAGATCCATTGTAAATGGACAGACTTACATTGTGTACTGATTTGGTGTGGTTACAGACTTGCCGTTTTAAATAATTACAAGTTAAATTTAGTTATAAAACAAACAGGTCCGAGACTTCCAGTAAGAAAATTTACAAATTGAGTAACAATTCAATGTGATAAAAGAGAGTAACAATTCAGCTTAGAAAAAATTAGTGTGACTACAAAAATACAGATATAGTATATACCTATAGCCATATAAGTTAAAAGTGTATAGAAAATAGTATACGTTAGTATTAAAGGAGTCAGATGCATATGAAATCTCTGCAATTCAGAGATGCCCATGGTAAGAAACTACGAGAAAACCCAGCTGTTAGTTTTGCATGCGAAATATTTAATTATTTACTCTCTTTTGTCAACATTTCGTTTTTGTTAGATGTGCTCTGATTACTTAATCACGTTTCACGAGGGAACTACTCCCAAATAAACAAGTACAAATAAAAATGATCCACTGCCGTACTTTATTTGAATTGGTTTATTCAGTTAAAAGAAATCTATAAATTAGATTTTGTGAAAATATGAAAAAAGTAAATAGAATAAATGTAGATTTTACCTAAACTAAATTCTATTATACATATGACCACAATTATTGAAGTGTTCCAGAAAGCCTCATGATAGTATATGAAGTCATAATCATATAATCTATAACACATTAGAACTTCTTGAACAAGTCTACTTTGGCCTAGTTTAACTCGATAACAAAGTTGGTTAAACAATTCAACAAAAAGTAATAAATATCGGTATAAACAAGAGAGGTTGGCTGATTAATTTTGTGAATATCTATATTAATAATCATAACTGACAAATGATATTATAGACTAATACTATTTACATTAAGAAAAGGAAAAGAGAGAAAACTAATCACTTTGTCAGACTCAGCACACAAGATCCACACATAGCTTAATTGTAACAGTTCCAATGGAATCTTTTTCTCTTTCTCTCTCAACCTCTAGACTCTAGAGAGAGAAACGCCACGTTGGTCATCGTCATATCACAGTAAACACTAGTCATCATAAATGAACATGAAGAAAAATCAAAGAAAGAAAAAAGCTAGAAACCAAACTAATCGTCACAAGAAGAATCTAATTCACACTTTGAAACTGATCTTAGTCACAGCTTTCATTTAAAACATGTTACAAATCTAACATTCGATCTAAAGAAGCAGCGTAGAACCCCTTTATGTACACATGCGTATATGAAACTATCTACTTCGGTTTCAGAAAAAGACAAGAACTGAGATAGAGATTGGTGTTTGTTTTTTTTTTCTTTAAGAGTCGGAGTAATTATCTCTCCAGCAAATAAGCATGATTACGCATCTACGCATGATGTAGAAACGAGCTCTCTGTTCTCTAACCAGTTTCGCGCACTTCCTAGTAAAAGCGCATCTCCCCTGTTTCTGTGTCTTCTTGCCACCGCTTATGGGGATAGAAGAAGTCGACGAGGAGCGTGTGATCCTCGGCGCACCGCCGCTGAAACTGTCTTTCTTCGACAGCTTCCACTTCTCGTCTAGATGGAACTGCGGCGCGCTTCCCGATCGAGTTAGGCCGGACGATGACATTGATGAATGTATAGAGATCTCACCAAGAAACTGATACTAGTATTATTTTCTTGTGAGCTTCTTGGAAATTGATGAACTCTGAGGAATTTAAGCTTTAAAAAAAAAGAACTTAAGAGATTTGGAGATTTTCTAGGAGTTTGGAGATTTGAGTCAACAAGGGAAAAGAAGTGTTAGGATTCCGTATTTATAATGGATATGTAGAAACAAAAAAATCTAGAAAATAAAAAGAAAAAATCTAGAAAGAAAAAGAAAAGATATATATATATGTATATATTGTATTGTTTTCTCAATTTTAATTAATTATTTTTGTTTTTGTATAGTTTTTGTCCTCTTTTGTGATAAATACTAGTATAAAATTCGAAGAAGATGCAGAGAGTTGTGGCAGTCGGTATTGCCCGGGGCCTCGTTGTGCCTCGATCGACCCACCATCACCTCCTTTTTTAAAAAATTGCTAATTTGCTAGGGAATTGTCTTAAATAAACATTTCAATTAATCACATATTATATTTTTTTGATTAACCTAAGGTATCTTAGGCCTATGTAGAAAGTTCCTAGACTAATCCTTAAGAGGAGGTATAACCCGCGGATATACTCTTTCTCCGGATATTCAAATGGATTCTAAAGCATGGATCCATATCTGTGTTAAGTGATCAGGATAATTGTGATTTAGTTTCGTGCAGCAGGTGGATCAAACCTAAAACATGTTGGTGTTTTAATTAATCACATATTATAAAGTAAAAAAAAAATTCATACAAGTTGATTTATTTTAAAGAAATGTTGTTAGAAAATGTTTCGGTTGTTGTTAGTTTGTGTCAAGTCATCGTTGTTAATTTGTGCAGAAAAATATAAATAGGTTTTACACTTTTACTAGAACTAGAATAGAACAACTAGTAGTATTATTTGGTATTGTGGATATGATATATTAACGTAAATCGTAATATTTCCAAATCGTATAACATGAGACAAAAACAAAGTAACCTAATAATTTAAAAACCCTAAGAAACTTAAAGGGAACTAAAATCATTTTCAAGTGAAAAAGATGATAGTTCTTTTATTTTAACGATGGAGTACTAGGCATTTGACACAGTCTATTAGACTTAGGATCTCCTTTGACAAATACTACTATTTCTGTTTCAAAATATATGAATGCTTTAAATCAGTATATCCTTATTATAAAAAAATCTACAAAAGAAAATTAAAATATAAATTGATAATTATTTAATCAATTGTAAAATAGAGTTATCTAAAAAATATCTTACAAAAAAAAATCATATCAATTTTGGAATGTATCATCTTTCCCAGATAGCTTGAACTAGAACCGTAAGTTTAACCTCATGGACCCAACTAACACCTTTAGACCATCAAAATTAGTAAAGTTGCCTAGTTAACACATATGAGAAGTGGGTTTATTGACAGAGAAATATCAAAGACTGTGGAAAACAAAACTGAGACTTCTAAGATAGATCGCATATATAAGTTATAACGACATTCCCATTTTAATATAAAAACATTTACTCAAAATGAAAAGTTTAAAGAGGAAGAAAAGTGAGGAGAGTAGAGGAAGATGTCTTTAAATGCATCAAAGCAAATCTAGCTGACCTCTCTTTTTCTCTGCGCCTATAACTGTAAATTACTTGCTTGGATCAATCAATAACTGCACCACCAGTAACGGACCAGTTTTAAATCAATTATAGCGACTGGATTTGTGTATTGATATGTATTAGACGTATTTTATCTATGCACGGAGGAAATCGTTACTACTTCAGAACTTATACGTCTCGATGAATCCTTATAGCTTAATGATTCTTAAATTTTTTCTCTGTTTTACTGCGGTGAATATTTTATCACAAGGCATCACTAGAGAATAGAAAAGGGGTAAGAGGGAGGTTCAAGAAAAAAATGTGAAATTACAGGGAGACGTTAAATAATACACGCCAGAAGTAGACATACATATGTATTGAACATACTCATCAGTACATCCAAAGTGTGTGATCCATCAATCAAAAGGATGCGACGGCTCATTTTTACTGTTAACTTGTTTCTTATTGTTTGTCACTTTATTTTCACGGGTGGATTAAATGGATGTTAATCATAAATTTTTTTTTTTGTAAACTTAATCATAAAAATGTTGATGTGTAAAAAACAAGTGAAACTACTGTAATATAGCTAATGATATCGTAGTAATATAGTCATGATTCATTCCAACTCTTGTTTCTTATGTTATGTTAATTTGATCCACTTAAGTTGCTTGTATCACACTAACCATAATTTATTAGGATTAGTCCGGTCCGTGTGGCACTATACAATGATAGAACGTGAATGTGTGGGTAAGTAGAATGTTTTAAGAGACTATAACAGCCAAAATTTTATAACATGACAAATTCATAATAGTATGGAAGGGTGTGACAACTCTATATCTTTGTCACTTTCTGTTAAAGACTGCCAAAGCATTAGAAAAGCAAAAGTTACGACACTGAAATTAGATTCTTGTGACCTGCAACTGAAATTCGATGGTTTTATATCCCTTAAGTGAATTTCGTTGTACATGCTCAAACATACTTAAAAACATGCATGAGTTTAAGATTTTTAGAAAAAAACTATATACCGTAATATAGTACGAGGTTAAACTTAGACTATCACCACCGAAAGATTTTGTTTTTTACTGAGGTTTTCACATGAATTATATTTAGCCCTGACTAATTACTGAATGTTTCCATGCACCCATCCATCGTAGCACTAAACTGATCATATAGTATCATTTTTGGTTATGTTTTTTTTTTCTTCTCTCAAGTTCATATCCACGCGAGTTTATAAATGTGCGAGAGCGTCGTAATTACTTGAAAGGAAACAAAGCAAAGGTCAAAGTGAATGAACCGTTAACCAGAAATTGTGTGGCTCTTCTGGTGTCGACGTTGAGGCACGTGCGGCTAACAGGTCGGCGTCACCGCGGACACGTGTTTGTAGAGAAGTGTGAAAGCGAGGTCTCGAGTATCGCAGGGGACCGACGTAGCCCTCTTTCTTTGTCAACGGTCAAAGTTCTCTCTTCTCTTTAAAATTTTGCACGAAGAGAATCTGCAAACTTCAAAGCACGTGTTCACTGTATTTTCTCCAGTCTCTATTTCTACCTTTGGTCGGGTTCACTTCCATATCTTTTTTTTAACGTTCTCTTCCTCCATAGACCGATTTCACTATGCTGCTGAGCTGTATGTAGTGGTAACAAATACTTCCTCCGTTTTTAAAAGATTTATGTTCTAGAAAATATTTTGTTTAAAAAAGATATATATTCTATATTTTCTATGAGAAAATTATAAGTTTCAAAAAAATTAATTAATTTTATTAAATTTTTATTGGTACAAAATTCATGAAAATTGAAAATTACTAAAAACATAATATTTTAATATGTTTTCTTAATATGTGTGGAAATATTAGAAATTCTATCTTTTAGAAACATGAGGACTATATATATCTTCTCGGTCGTGGAATTTTATTTTGTTTTTGTAACTTCGGTCGTGGAGTTATTGCGTTACGCTATCTTAATTTCGTTTATTTTCCGTATTTTATTCTTTATTTGAGTTTAAGATCTAGTGTGGCAATACTGTCCTATATATATATATATATTAGAGCTAATACCATTTGGGATTTTAAACAAAGATCAAATGGAAGAAGTTAAATTTAGTCTTAAGATCAGTTTGTTGGGATTTTTGGGGTAAAACAGGTAGCATTTTACGTTCTGATGTAATTTATGATAGATTAGATAATGGTTGTTTAAATCTGAGAAAACTATGTGAATGTTATTGATGCGTGGAAGAAAAATGCATGTGTTCATAGGGGAACGAATGGGAATATATTAAACTCGTCACATGGCATTTCTGACATGATACTTCCTGTGGATAAAAAAGGTCCACGAGATATTCGATTTTCTTTCTTAAGTTTTGTATGTATTTTTTATTTACGTGTATTCAGTTTTTTCATCGTTGATATGTAAACACACGTAATACAGTCAAAACGCCACAAACACTAGATCCATAAACAAACTTTCATAATTAAATACCCTTGAATCGCATTTAGGTCTCACTATGCGTAGAAAATGTTATGATTCTTTATATCCTTCAATATTTTCACTAATTTTCACCTTCTATTTCCACAATGTCGCAATTGATAATACTATATTAAACTAGTAGTGTACTAGACTGTTTCTCTTTCGAATCCTATTAGCCTGTGTGTTCATGAATGTGAATTGTGATAATACCTATGTAACATGGAAGATTAACCTCGATACACGAGCTCTAATTTGACCGTTACGAGGTTAGTATACTAAATCCAAGGACATTTACATTATATTTGGTTAACTAATAAAGACATTGTTTCTATATATAGCAATGATAGTCTCTGACGGTAATCGTTTATTTCGTCTTATATTTGTATCGGCGGAAAAGAAACATAAAGAAAGAACGGATACATCGGCTTACATTTCAACGCGTAAATGGTCTGAGTACTTTCAATGTCCTTTTTTTTTGTAAGATCTCATCTCAATTGTAGCATCTTCTTTGAATTCAAAATTAGATGCATAACACTGATGAACAAGTTTGGCATCTTGGCTAAACTGAAGCTAATAACTCGTTAAAAAAACTAGATTCAACCCTAACCCTACTAAAAATCTTATAGAAAAATTAGTGTTATTCAAGTTATTACTTTGATTTTTATTTATTATATTTTTTGTCACGATAGATTTCTATTTATTATATAAATAACCAAGTTGTAAGCTAAAATCCTAAATAAAACACAAACAAGATAGGTTTGGCAATTGTTTGATATATATTTTTAGTACCAGTTTCCTTTACTGGGCTTAAAGCCCGTACTTTTTTGCCAGAGCTAAACCCACACTAAGTTAAGCCCATACTCTTTTGCCTGAGCTAAACCCACGCTAAGCTAACTTCCTGAACTGAGCACAAGTCAGATGATAGAATTCGAAGATCCATTATAATTTTTGTCCAAAAAAGAAAAAGAAAAAAAGATCCTGTTAAAGAATAAAGAAGGTTGTAACTCTCATTGTATTATTAATCACGTGGTTACACATATATATATACATACAAGAGAATAAAGCATATTCCTTAGGAGATAAGGATTGCTACAAATAAAGGGGATGATTATCCTAATCCTATAATGATTAGGATA